GATTAGAGCTACTGGATTAATTTAAGAAAATATTTTTTTTATATTTTAAACAAATAAATTTGAAGCCAGTTTTGGTTTTTATATTTTAAAAAAAATTTCAAATCTAGGGAATGGGGAATTTGTTTTATAGCTATTAAGAACATTTTCTTCCCTGGTATCCTCCATTTCATTAATATCATTGGTTGAATCACTTTCAACGATTTGGATATCCATAGGCGATGACATTTTAAATAATTAACACGTGATTTAGGTTTATAACACAAATTGAGAATATATTTCAATTTCATAGTTAAATAATAAATAATAAATCATAAAAATTATAATTAATTATGATTATATTTAAATTTTCATATTTATAGTTACATTTATTATATTTTTTATACTTAGCTACTTTCAAAAAAAAGGAGAGCGCTAAAAAATTAAATAATTACAAAAAAAAGTAGCGCGCCATTGGCTATAGTTACCAAAAAAAAGATAGCGCGCTACTTTAACAACTCTGCAATTTTGGTTATTAAGAATTCAAAGATGGAAGCACTATATAGGCTATGATAAAAATAAATAGCTCAACTCAAGGAAATGTTAAACTGAAGGAGCTATTTTTAATGAAGGGAAGGTGAGGGCAATTCTTATTATCAAAGACTTTTATTCCAATCTTTCCTATTATATTTTATAAATGCATTATTGAATAAAACTGCATAAAAATTTGTCTTGTTCTCGTAATAAAAATAGCATTTTAAGCTAAAATAAGTAAAGGTTAATAATTTTATAAAATAATGAATATTCTTTTTTTTTAAAAAAAATGTGTATTCCATTTGACAAAAATTCGTGGCGAATCGGTGCTAACCATGAACGCAGATGCCAGAGCGATTTTTGCAGGGATGGAACCCGAATCTGGGTTCGGGAATTATAAACTCTATTAGGCCTATATTTTGATAACAGGAAGTTAATCGAAACCAATTTTCTAAAAGAGGCCCGAACTCGTCCCCGGTCCGTTTTACCCCCGGTTCCCGTTTTGTCTGTGGTATCAAAAATGCTCAACCAAACATTTTTAAATTTCTGAACCCGGGTTCAGGTTCACATCCTTGGATTTTTATACCCCTCTCACAAAATCTGGGCTACGTCTATGAACTTCAAGGGTTTGCGTTCGATCAAAATAAAAGGGGACATTTTTTCATTCAAATAAAATTTTGACGATACTGAAGGCGATTATTTATCATATTTGGAAGAATCACTTATCATCTTTTATTGCGAGATAAAAATTAGAGGTCAGTTCGAGTCGGTTTACTGATATTTTTGAAAACGTTTTTCCCCATAACCGTAATTTTTTCCCCTCCCTGACCCATAAAAATAATTTTATTCAATGTCTAACGTTAAAAAAAAACCCAAATATATATATATATATATCTAAAATTTCAAAATGTCTCTTTTTATTAATAAAAAATATCCAGGCTAAAAATAGCGAAAAAAACTCAAAATCGTAATAAAGTAACCATATGTTCGATTCTATTTTAAAAAAAAGTCGGATAAATAATTCGTATTCACACAAATGATAATTTACTTATTTTTTTAAAAAATACATTAATACTATAAGCATTCCCGCGAATAGATAATACATCTTTTTTGACTCCTTCCACCCATGTATAATTCTTCTATTAACAAGTAGTATAACGGAATCAGGTTGTGCCACGGGATGAACCCTTAGGCCTAGTTCTGGCCTAACAATTGTCCAGATTATAATCATACGGTATGGTTAGACTGCGAAATTTGTAACGATTTAGAGTATACAGATTACGATTAGTGTTGTTATAAACGGCTCGCTTTGTTAAAAACGTCCAACCTATTATTTTAGAGCCACAAAAAAATATTTTAGCGAACCTGGAGATTTTGCTAGTAGATGACCGAAATGTTTGGACATCTATTAACAAAATTTTGAGGCTCAGGCTATATTTTTTTTTGGCTAAAATGTTGAGCTAGCCATTTTTAAAGATCGGCACGAATAACAAGGTGTAAGTGGGTAAAGATTTAGATCCCTGAATCCACACAAATTCGTTATTGTAATTTATTAGGGTAACGCTTATTTAATGGGCTATTTACATTGTAAAGTAATTACCAGATGGCGATAATACGTGTCCAGAATGCATTCCCAATTACGCTTCGATATCGATTACAGTAGAATGTTATTTAGATTAAAAATTTGAGTTATACACGTCTTATAAAAGATGCAACGTTATCTGTCATTTCAAAATTTTATAATAAACGCAATAAAAATTGTCGATTCCTTATAATTCATTGAGCCAAATCTTATATAGCTCCCATTGGTGCAAACGATCTATATTAGTGATCTGCATCTGGCCTAATTTTTCGAGCCCGGCCCGAATTTTTCTTAAAAAAGTTTTGCCGGCCCGGCCCGAACCCGATTATTTTTAAAGAAAATTTACCGGCCCGACCCGAACTTATTTAAATATAGAAATTAATTATTGTAATTACTCAAAATAAAAGACATATGTTTTATATATGGCGTCTAGTTCTATAAATAAAATCAAATAATTGTATTTTACCTAAAAAATTCAATATAAAAATTGATAAATTTAAATATATTGAAATTTCCAAATATTCCTGTCAGAACCCGATTTTTTTAAAAAAATTAGGCCGAGTCCGGTCCGTGTGGATCTCTAATTTATATTATATTATATACATGAATTAGTTGAAGGTATCAAAAAAAAATACCAAATTTTCATATAATTGAGGGAATTATATCTATGAGTTAAATTTTCCCCGGTGATAATAATAAAATAATAATATAGGCATAATGATTTATAAACTTTTTTATTTTTCTATATACTTTTTACGTAAGCGACATTGGCGTACGCAGCGGGGGGGGGGCAGGGGGACAAATCCCCCCCCCCCCCCCAAAGCCAAAAAATGCAGATGGCGGATATATTTTTCAAAAATATTATTGTTTATATTAATTTATATTTGTTAATATTTATTCGTATCTCATATTAAATATATATTATATTTATTATCACATTCATAAGTTATTTTATATTAATTTCGATTTCAAGTTTTCTGGTGTAATATTTACTTATTATTTTCAAATTTTTAGTGGCGTAATATTTATCTACCATTATCAAATTTCTAGTCAAATAATAATTATTTCTGAAACTTCTGGTCCAACAGGGAAAAAGAAATTGCAACCTTGTCCAACGAGATAGAGCCTCTTCCATCAAGCACTAACAGCTATTAAGGAGTTAGAATAGCCAATTATTTGCTATTACTGAAATATTACAATGGCCTGAAAGAAATATTTCCTCAGAAGCAAGAAAATTATTGGATTCAATGCTTATTCCAAATTTTATTTCTCATTAGAATGTATTATTTAATTATACAACTATTTTAAGTATTACTTTTCAAAAACATGACAATGATTTGATTAAGAAGATGAGAATAGCGGAGAGCATTTTATCAGAACTCAAGGAAATTAGGGCTAATGTTGATGAAGAATTTCATATTTTATTGTTGAGTCAAAAGCAGAGCTATACGTGTTTAATATTTGACTCCCTCGACAGCAAGGCAAGCTCATCGTTAAATTATTAATATAGGATCAGTAGAAGAGTTTATCTTAGATGCAGATACATTTATAACCCAAATAAATGAATTTTTAATATATGATGCAGCACTTACATCTGCAAATATTACTTCCACAAAAGTCTTCAACCTTTTTCAGATGGTGATAGAAAAAAAATTATTTGTTAGATTTTTATTATGAAGATGTTAAAGTATCTTATGATGCCTTACTAGCTGAATAACTATGTTCATAAGATTAACTATAGTTGATATAGTCCCAAAAAATGCTATGGTAGCTCTGCATTATTTCAAACACATTTTAGATTAAATTCCCATGTATTAAAAGGGTTTATAAACTCTTCCCATTAGTAAACTAATGAGAGAACACTCTCTTTTTTAAGAAGAATAACAGAGGCCTGCAGAAGTACCATTTGCAGGGTACGGCCGGATTTTTTTTAAAGATTTTTTAATCTATTTTTAAAAAAATCTTTAGGCAGCTCGGCTTTTTTTTTAAATTTACAGGCTCGGCCCGGCTTTTTTAAAAATAAAATTATATTTATTTTTGATTTTTATAGCTAATAATAACGATTTCAAATATAGGCTGTTAAAAATACAGCCCGGCTTGGGTGTTTTTTAAAGAAAATTTAGGTCTGGCCCGGCCTGGATTTTTTAAAAATAAATTATATTTATTTTTGATTTTTATAGCTAATAATAACGATTTCAAATATAGGCTGTTTTAAAAAATACAGCCCGGCTTGGGTGTTTTTTTAAGAAAATTTAGGTCTGGCCCGGGTGTTTTTTAAAAAAATTTTGGGCCCGGCCTTGGTTTAATTAAAAAAATTAAAATATTGTCCGGCCCAGGAGCCGGGCGTGCAGGTCTCTGAAAAACATACCAAGAAGTACAACATGTGAAAGTAGATTTAAAGGTTTGGATCTTTTGAATATTCATAGGCATTTGACGACAAGCAAGAATGAGATAATTGAAAAATTAGCTCAATTCCAACGAAGATTGGATTTTACATTGTAAATATATAACATACAAAATACAATTATTCCTAAGAAACTTTTTGTGTAAAGGCTCAAAAAATTCAAATTTCTATTTTGGGTCATTTAAGTGATTCTTTACATATAATTTTTTTATAATTCACATTAATTTAAAATTGTGTATTAGGAATAGTTATTAGTCCTAATAAATTTATGCTTGATATTTTTAAAAAACAATAATATTTCTCAAAAAAATTTATTATCCCCCCCCCCAGACCAAATTCCTGCGTACGCGCCTGGTAAGCGATAAAGCATATATAATATAAAAGTTAAACAACATATCTATGAATAATTGCACGCGTTTATTTACAAAAAAAATTTATTAAAATCGGTACATGGCATATTAATAATAGAGCAAAATATATCCATAATTATCTCTCATTATTTACAATGTTGGTCAAAACGGAGGTACCTATATTTCCGCCCGCTAGCACGACTACTACATTTAGTCTGCCGCCCATACTAAGTCTCCAGATGATACCAGTATTATCGATTTCATCTACGAAGGGGGAATATTGTATGTACTCATTAGAGATGGGTTTAAAAGAGTTTTTATTCCGGTCGCCAACTTCTTTGCCATCCCAAAAATTTGCTATATTTACATCATTATCGATTCCGGGAACTTTTCCAACCATCAAAGCGGCTAAAGCGGCACAACCAGAGGGCTCAACGATTAATCCTGTACGATAACATTTAGCTACGGCCGCTCTTATTTCTTGATCGCTAACTAAAATGATGGCTTCTACATTGCGAGAACATATATCGTAGGCTATTTTGGCTATAAAAAAAAATAAGAATTTGTTTTATATTTTTAAAAACTTCATGAAATTTGAAATGAATTTTTTGTTATATGCTTTTTTATAAGCTTTAACTGTAACTAGTTACACTTTGAAAAAGTATCTCAAATAAAAAACCTTAGAATATTTTTAGAAATGTTTTTTTTTTTAAATTAAAGTTTTAAATAAATCTCGTTTGTAATTCTTAACCCATCAATCATATTTTTTTTTTAAATATTAGTTTTTATAAGCAGCTTTGCAATTTAACATTTTTCATTTCAAAATTTAAAGTCATCAAATCTCTTGTATTGTTTGTAAATAAATTCTCACAAATTTTGATATAATATAGTTAAGTAGAGTGAATAAAATTTTGTTTTCATATAAATTATAAATAAAATCTTCCCGACTATAATAAAATTAATAAATATTTTATATTAAGATTTCTTCTCATATGATACTTTTGAAAAAAATTTGGTTTTTTTTTAGCTATGCCAGAATCGTATTGCCACATGTATAGAGTCCACACCCTGTAAATATAAGACAATTATTTTGTGAACATTTGACATAGACCTAATTTATATTAATCTTCATATATAAATTAAAGATTAAATTTTAAGTATTAAATACTAAAGTTTGGCAGTAATTAATTACAAATGTAATGATTAATTCCATAATTACAAATCTTTTTTTTTGAAATTAATTTCACCGTAAAAAAAAAGGGGGGGGGGGTTAGTAATTATAATTAATTCCATTCGATGGCATGCAATAAGGAATTATCAGTTATAAGTTATTATAATTCTTAATTACATTTATAATCCTTTTTCTTATTTAATTAATTTTTATTGAAAAACGAGTATAATAATTACTAGAATTTATTCATATTTTTGGCCAAAACGGAAACATAATGAGTTCCATTGACTACAACCCCCGCTCTTCTATTATGATCTATTGGGTTCATTTCTTAATCATGAATAATTTTTTATTGTATCATTTTTAAGTATGTTAGTCCTTTTGTCATTCCTCGATACCATTTGGATTTGATATCGTCATATATTTTAAAGATATTTATCCAGGAATCTACCATGATGACTCCTGAATAACTTGAATCATTTAGGATAGATAACAATGCTATGAATAATAAGTTATAGTGATGCCCATTGAATACAATTCAGACACATATATTGATATAGGAAGGATGAATTTTTGGATTATGAAAAATTTTATGGTTTAGTTCTCTTTTCTTATAAGATTTGATGAGAAAGATTAAAATGTTTATTTATGGCAACATTATTACCAATTGAGTGTTTTGCTTATATGTCAAATTCACAGGGCACTGATAAACTAATCAATTTAAAAGTTGGTAATTTATTAAGTTTATGATTATCACATTATATCCATGTGTTGTCATCCAAGATTGTGCATATAAGCAGCTTGTGTGATTGGTATATAACGATGCCCCTTCAAACCGTAAGAGTAAAACAAAAAATAATATAATAATGGCTCTATTACTAGGAAAATATAAAACTTTTAGATAACCTGTCTTTGACAATGAAGAATTTTGCACTAGCCTTTGCATAGTATCTTACAAAAAATTGGTAAGATGAACAATTTCTTGTAAAGTCTATATATATGATCACCAACATTCATTTATTCCCATGATGTAAAACCACTAGAGATTAAAAATTTTATAAATTATTAAATTGTAGTGCTGTAAAAATTTTAAAAAAAATCGAACGCGTTCGCGTTCAACGTTCATTGACAAAAATCGAACGCGTTCACGTTCAAAAAAAGGAACGCGTTCATACGTTCAAAATTTTATGATAAATTTTTTTTTAAATTTAATTTAATATAAATAAATGCCTTATATTTTTCAACACAATATATTAGCCATGATAAAAAATAATAGTTTTATTTTGATAATATAATTATAAATACAATATAATAGAGCGATAAAAAAATAAATTTATAAAAAAAAATTTCTTATTAATTTTTAATAATAATTGCTTTTCAAAATTTTCATCTGATGATAGGCATGAACGCTTGTCAGTTAATACAGCGTTAGCTATACTAAAAACTCGCTCAACAGGGGCGGATGAAGGGATTGCGGTGTTATACTTGATTAACAATTCTTTTAAAAGGGGGAATTTATTAAAAACATTTAATGTTTTATCCATTGTTTCAAAAAATTGAGCTAAGTTATCATCCTCCAATCTGCCCTCTTCTTCCTCGTCAAAAAAAAGGATATCTCTGAATTGATTTTAAAACAGTGAAATAATTTTGATATTTGGGCCATGGTAATTCTAATTCATCTAATATTGAATTTTGATTTTCAGAATCTGATGATGAAATATTTATATCCATGCAAATGCTAATCTATTAAATTAAAATATAAAATATTCAAATTAATAAACTTTAATCTTAACTTCTCTAGCAGTAGCACTATGGTACGTTAATTGCAATATGAAAAAGGAAAAAGTAAAAACAGCTGATTAAAAAATATAAGACTTTTTTGTTAAAAAATTGGATTAAATATTAATTTTTCAAATAAATAAAAATATAAGACTTTTTTGTTAAAAAATGCGGATTAATATTAATTTTTCAAATAAATAAAAATAAAAAGTGTTTTTAAAATTGAACGAACGTAAAATTGAACGCGTTCATCAAAGAAAAGGAACGCGTTCACGTTCAAAGTTCGTCAAAAAAAAAGAACGCCGTTCATCACCTTTTTTCAAAAAAACGAACTTCGTTCACGAACGCGTTCATTTTGAACGCGTTCGTTTACAACACTATTAAATTGTGTTACATATTTAATTTTTATAGACAATTATCAATTATGTTATTAAATGATATAAATAAATAAATTGAATATTAAGAAAAATTTATTTAATATATTGAATGTTAATTTGGACACTATTCTAGGTGTAGCCCATTGAGCTATTTAAAATCTTGAGGAATGAACCTCAAACTTAAAATAATATCAATTCTAATATTTTACAACATGATACAAACATTTATTAAAAGTTTATAAAAATATATAAAATACATTTTTATAAAAAATATAATTTATATGCTATTAAATATGTCTAATGGAGATTAATTGGCAGGTTGTGGTGATATATCATTAGTCTTGCTTGAGATAGTATATATATAACATCAAGGCTATTCAAAAAATGCCTAAATAAAATATTAATAAATTTAAAATATAAATTAGCTTTACAGCATCCCGGATGGGCTTTCTTCCAAAACATTGGATTTATTCAAATATAGATGGTAAGTAAAATCAATATAAATTTTGGATCTGGATAAGCTTTGTAGTAACATCAGAACAGAATTTGAGGATTGGCATAGCCCTACTTTTTATATTCCAAGTAGTTATATCAACTTACCAATAAAATAAATAACATGAATATTTAATTAAGTAGGTTTTCCTATTTTCTCCTTATTCAGCTGATACTTGAAGTTTCTCATGAAAAAGATTTCAGCATTTCTGCAAACTTTTTGTTAATTTCATCTCCTAAAAATATTGTTATATCATTTAATAATAATTATTCTTACAATTTTAGAAGAATTTTATCACTTCAAAATTTAAAGTTTCAAAAAACGCAAGCAAGTTTGTCTTTTAAAAAATAATTTAAAATGAAAAACGGAAATGTGCTCAATTTGAACGAATGCATTTAAAATGCATTGTTTGCGTTTTGAAACGCTGCGTTGCAACGTTCAGTTTGTCCACACTATAAAGCGCGTTTTTTATTTTGAAGACCTGATTTTGCTGGAATCGTACCTGACATGATTAGAGTATTATATACCAGGGATTTGCATAATTACTTACAAAATTTTTGTAACTAGTTGTAATTACTAATTACAAGTATTTATGATTTTTTTGAAAGTATTAATTATGATTTTTTTTAGAGTAATTATAATTGATTATAAATCATAAAAAACGAGAAAACGAGAAGACTATATTTATAATCGAATATATTATTTTTAAAAAAAAATATTTAATTTTTTTTTAAAGTTATCAATTTTTCAAGAGTTCTATTATATTTATTTAACCAAAGTTGCCAAGAACTACCTTGTACCATATTGATTTAATCTCTAAAACTCTTAGGCAAATAGGCACCTCAAGTTTAATATCATTGATTGAATTTGGGATAGAAGTAAAAACTGTAAAATTTTAAAGAAATTGCCATGATTAATCTTTTTTATAATCTCGGAACTTTAAGATTAAAATAATATTGGAACAAACTCACCATTATAATAATAATCGTTTTCCCCCCTTGTATTTTATCTAAGGCAATTTTATATTTTTCTTTAACATAAAAATTGGATTTAGTATTTTTAAAAAATATTGAATTATAATATAGAAAGTAAGCATCTTAAATATTAAACTTGAATAAGGTGGCTCTAACTTAGTTGTGAAAGTTACATCAGGAACGTTGTCTACGGTCACTGGGGTTCGCATTTTAAAACTCTGAAACATTATTGGATCTTATAATTTTAATAAATATAAAGCTTCGTTTATAAATTTTATAATACATATACATAATAAATATATAAAATTGTGAATGTTATATGATTGATAATATTAATATTTTCAAGTTAAAGATAGATATCAGTTACCCTTGATAAAAATGGGCTCATTCATTTCTAAACCTTGAACTACCCCTTATGGAGTTATTCTGTTTAGAATTTTATACTAAATATATTATAGTTGTTATTGTAAACGTTTCACTTCGAAGAAGAAACGCGTTACTCGTTAACTCGTGTACGATGCTGCATTTATAGTCAACGAGATTTGCTCACGCAAATTAATTGCTAGCGAAATCGCAGCTGATTCGTCCTTTTTCATACGTAAGTAAGGAGCTGCCGCTATATCGTCATTTCGCTCCGTATTCATATATCATACTTATCAGTGGCTTACTTTTGTAAATTATGCAGCAAACCTTACTATAAATGAGGCGTCACTCAAAAAAAAACCCTCAGCCCCTCCCCAACACCACAAATAAAAAAAAAATCTAACAAAAATATTATATTAAATTATATAAGTTCCTTTTGTAAAAAAAATTTTTTTTATTTATTAACAATCGATTTTCAAAATTATGATCAGTATTGTTCAACATAGCTTTCGCTGGGCTAAATATACTTTCAAATGGCAGAGGATGGGAGGGTTGTATTAATTTTTAGTTGGGGATGGGGAAGAGGGCGGGAGAATTAATTAAAGATATTTAAAAAATGATATTTATTTTCAAAAAAAAAAAATTATTCAATCATTATCACAAGAATCTTCGTTCAGAATCTGGTCAAATTTTTTTCAATCTACATCTTTTATCAGAATTTAATCTGAACATTTTTTTTTTTACCTTCATGTTTATTTTTTTTTTAAATTTGAATGGACAACGAGGTTAAAATAATCAGGGTACAATCTTACCTTACAAATTTTATAGACTCAGTGAGCTTAATTTTCTTTATTGGGTGTAAAAAAAATATTTTCATACTAGGAACAAGTCAGAGTTAAATCATCTTGCTACTGATATATATATAATATATACTTTATAAATAAATTCAAATATTAGATAGCACCATTAGAACAAAATTTATGAAATGAATGCAATTTTTAATAATATTTTAATATTAATATGTTGGATTTATATCAAATTTTATATTATCATGTTTTGGAGGGAAAAGGGAGTGTTTCGAAGAAACATTTGTAGTTCCCTTTTAACATTTCGAATTGAATTTTTTGTTTGAGGGATAGGGACTCGTTTTTGACCGCTGTCTTTATTAAGAAATTTTTACCCAATTGATTTAAATTTGGGGTTTTCCAAAACGCTAAAAATTAGAGGAATAAAAATAAAAGAAATATGAAGAGACCTATATTTATTGCATTTATTGATTTCTTGAGTTCCAAGGGGTCAGTGTTTCTGTTAGCCAGAAATGAGGTAAATAGTAGATATATTTTGATATCAGTTTTTATATTATGATATACACTATTAAACTTAATAAATTAATACAGTGACGAAGCGTCCATAGAAGCAAGGGAAGCATTGCTTCCCTTGAAATTTTTCTTACAAAATTTTTAAATAAACTTTTTACTATGCTAAATAAACTAAACTGACTTCAAAAATTAACATAATTTTAATAACCTAAAAAGATTAATATAATTTTTATAACGTTAAAAAGATTAATATAATTTATATAACGTTAAAAAAATAAAATTATTTTTAGTATATTAAGAAATACTATTATTTTTACTACGTTAAAAATGTTACTATTATTTTTACTACGTTAAAAAAATAGACATGAGGGAAGCAAATTTAATATTGCTAATTTTTAATAAATAAAGAGAAAATCATGCCATGGTATTATGTAATTTTACCATTAAAAAATAAGTATTGGGGAAGCAAATAAAAAAATGCTTTTTTAATAAATAAAAGAGAAAGAAATTTTTTTATATAATATTTTTTTCCTTACTTTTTTAAAATAAAAAATATTTCATTTTTAAAATCCTTAATTAATGTTTAATAATTGTAATTTTATTATTGAAAATTTATTAACATTACCATTTAGCTCATGAAATGATGAGAAAAATTGATTATTGAAAAAGGAAGACCAAAACCAATTTTACAAAACTTAAAAAAAGAAATCAAAACTTGCATCAGTAATTTTTCTATAGATAAATATGAATGGCTTACTGGATGTGAAGTTTCTAATTCTTATATTGTTGTTCATGCCTATTATTCCCAAAGGAAAAATAGGTTTGAATTGATAAAAGATTTTCGGATATAAATAATTTTTCAAAGGCAGTTAAATGGCAAAGAATCAACCGCTCATTTTCAGTCGATGATTCAATTAAAGACATTTGGCCAAGTATTGAAAATATGATAGATTCGATGCACAAAATATTAATCGAACAGCATAATTCTAAAAGTCAAATCAAATAGAGAAATGTTGAAAATATAAATAGGTAAAAATATGTTTTGTAAACATGTTAAATTAATATTTCAGTGAAAGTGTACAGTGACAATTGTCATAATCGTTATTTTTGAACTTTTTTAACTTTTTTTAAAGTAAATGGGTAAAAATATGTTTGGTAAACATGTTAAATTAATATTTCATTGAAAGTGTACTATGGAAAAGTGACAATTGTCATAATCGCTATTTTAGAACTTTTTTGAGTTTTCTTAAAGTAAATGGGTAAAAATATGTTTGGTAAACATGTAAATTAATATTTCAGTGAAAGTGTACTATGGAAAAGTGACATTTGTCATAATCGTTATTTTTGATTTTAAAGTAAATGGGTAAAAATATGTTTTGTAAACATGTTAAATTAATATTTCACGGAAAGTGTACTATGGAAAAGTGACAATTGTCATAATCGTTATTTTTGAAATTTTTTGAGTTTTTTTAAAGTAAATGGGTAAAAATATGTTTTGTAAACATGTTAAATTAATATTTCAGTGAAAGTGTACTATGGAAAAGTGACAATTGTCATAATCGTTATTTTTGAACTTTTTGAGTTTTTTTAAAGTAAATGGGTAAAAATATGTTTTGTAAACATGTTAAATTAATATTTCAGTGAAAGTGTACTATGGAAAAGTGACAATTGTCATAATCGTTATTTTTGAAATTTTTTGAGTTTTTTTAAAGTAAATGATATTTAAAATTAAAATATATTTAAAATTAAAATACAATATTAATCTTAAAAAATTATTAATACCGAAAAAATTATTAATAATATAATATTACAAAAATTACACATTGCCTCATTTAACCCGGCAATGTGCACATTGCTGAAATAACAAAATTACCCTGCCTACCACTACCTCACATTGCCGAAAAAATTCTGGCAATGTATACATTGCCGGAATTTTCACATTGCCGCTAACATATATATCAATAAATAGTATATATTTTTTTATATAGTTTTTATTATATACACACTATTTAACTTAATAAATTAATGATATATCAAAAAAAAATATCTCAGGAACTATTAGTATTGTTTGTGAGTCTAAAATTTCCAATGCCTTCTAATGATGTTCTCTCAGTATGGGAAATTTTATCAAAATTAAAAGGCTCCTGAAAATTTATCAATTTGATACCCATAAACATAATTTTAAAACGGATATGAATCAGGTTAATTTTCTTATAAGAGTTTGGTTGCCATTTGAGTTAATAAAACTATTATGATTAAATTTAAGTGATGTAGCTTAACACCCATTTAAAAGTTGCACAGATATAACTTGGCCTAAAATCTAAATGTAAAGAACTAATTACTCCAAGTATTCTTAACCAGCACAAGTGAAATTTTCTGGTTATGTCCTTGCCTGGCCTATATTTTTAAAATTGTAATTTACTTACTAGTCATGGTAACCACTCAGAGTCAAGACTTATGTTCTGGTCTTAAAGTCTGATAAAAATAATAATTACCATCATAAGACTCAACACCATATATTTTACAGGTATGATTCCAAGACTTTACTCCAGATGCGACACCAGCTAAGAACCCTCCTCCTCCACAACAAATGACAATATCTACCATATTAAACACTTCAGATATTTCATATCCACAGCTATATTCAAAAAAAATTAGCATACAGAAAACCTTAAGTAATTTTATAAGTAACCTTGCATAGCCAGCTATCAAATTATAATCATCATATGGGTGCAAAAATATCATGTTATTCTCCTCTAAATAAGAATCAATGGTTTCTTGTAACATTCCTTTTTCAACAAATTCAATCCCTAATCCCAATTTCTAAAACCATAACAAATTAAATTAAGTATTAACACTATTTGCATTTACCTCTATAATTTTATATGCATTTCTAGAGAAATATCCTGATAAAAGTATTAATGGACGAGATCGTTCATATTGCTTAGAAATTAAGGATAAAGCTTTAGCATAGTTAATGTTTCCTTGAGAAATAGTCAGAATTTTTTTGAATTTACCCTTTTTATCAATATTTTCGACCTGATTTATCACTCCTCTTATTTCAAAAGAACCTGTTGTATAACATTTCATAGCTTTAGATAAATTTTATTTAACCTGTATTTTGCATATTTTCTAACTTAAACCATAGTTCAACGTATGTGGGCAAATTTATTATTTTCTCAGCATTCATGATTGGTGTTCTCCTGAATAATTTATGATAATTTAACAAATCACAAGCCTCCTTCATCTTATTTTCATCCATGTTGAAACTGTTTTCGGCTGATTATTTTTCTGTGTTTGCAAACTGGTAACGTGATAAATGATCTATTTTCTGTCGAAAAGGTTTTCAAGTTTTCAAATTCAAATTTTGTATTTATCGCGCGATTTTGAAATATATGGTTAGACACTACCTTTGGTAATATATATCACAAATAATTTTTTATAAAATCTTACTCAAACTTTTCAATATTTTGCGTGAACCTTATTATAGGTAATTACTTATTGCAAGTATTCTAAATTGAAATGAACTAAATGTATATCTTGATGAAAAACAAAATTAGTTATAAATTTCACTGCTATCAATCTGCTTTTTATAAAATAATACATCAGAACCTTGGCTTCCAACTGCTAGAAATTTGTAGAACATTATAAGGTAATTCTTTATAAGAATTCTCAATGAATTAATTGAATATACCAACTACTGTAGAAACGATTAAATTTTATTTGACTAAAGGACAAGAATTGCCTAAAGAAAATGGAAAAACTTATGACATTATTTCCAATATTAAACATTTATGGAAAGAAAAAATAAACCTAAATTTTTAATATACTTCATAATTTTGCTGTGGAGATAAAATATAATTAAGTAGTATATATTTTGGATAAGAGTTCATACATCTTTTATTATTGAATTTTAAGAAACCTTTGAAAGGGGATAATAATAATATATTTAACTCAATATTTTATGTTATCCCTACCAGTCTTTCCATTTAAAACAAAACTTTATTTAATAATTAAACTATTTCAACTTGAAAAGATTTATAATATACATATTATTATATCAGATATAAAACATTTTATAAATAATGTAAAATTGTGTGTATATAATAAAAAAAAAATATTTCTAAAAAAGGAATTTATGAGTGACTAATAAATGAAAATAAATTATTAATAAGATGTTTTGGGACATTCATGAGGGTTATACCCAACATATCACAAAAAAGATTCCACCCTGAAATGGAAAATCCCCCAAATGATAATTCTATTCAAACTTGCTAATATCCTATTTTATTTAGAAAGATATATTCTTTAATTCAATAGAAAGTCAGGAGTTTTTGCTTCAAACATATAATAGTTTAAATTTTGCAAAGCTGACACTTTTAAAAAATATATAGTCAATAAATATTTTAAAAATATAGGATAGAAGATGTTAATTTGAAAATATTCTTTACAATTTGGCATCTGGACCTCATCTAATCAAATATGATTCATAGGTGTTGCATCTTATTATTAATAATAAATAGGGCAATAAAAATTTAGTTCTTGCTTTACAGCTATTTGTAGATGACCATACTGGCAGAATATATGCAAAGCTTTTATCAATATTTTTGATGATATATATATATTATATTATATAATATTAAATATAAAAAACGAGGAATAACTAGATAATAATTAAATTTATAAAAAATATTAATCATCAGAGATACAGATACATATTTTAAATCAATTAATCTTTTTGAATGTTTTGTGCATGATTTAAATTTAGCTGCCCAAATAGCTCTAGAAATATTATCTCCACAAATTGGCAAGATACAAGCAATTGTTCATTGAATTCATATATAAAAAATATCCATTTGAAAGAAATTTGTAAAAACCTGCAACTACCATTAATATTTATACCCATATGAATATTGTTCACAGAATGGAACTTCACTCTTGATATGATATTAAAGATTATTGAATTAAAACAAGCTTTGAATGTGTTGTGTTTTAACTAGATTATAATAACTATTATGTTTTTTTTTGTTCTGGTGATATGTTTTTTTTATATATTACCATTTATATTTTTGGTTTTCTTTGTTCAATTTAGAAGTGATGTGTTTTCCTCAAATTATCATTTATATCTTTTTTTCTTTGTTCACATATATCGAGCCTGTTTTGATTTCATCATCGAAACTAGGATGTACCACGCAGGGCCATAGCCAGGAATTTTCACTTAGGGGGGCCAAGTGCTTACTTGGGGGGGGGGCACTATTTTTTTAAAATCAAACAAATAATTACGCATTCATAGAAATTTTTTCCTATTTTTATTAAAAATTTATTAACAAAATAATACTATAATATGAATATACAAAACAAAATAATACTATAATATGCATATACAAAACAAAATATTACTATAATAGAATACGGCGATTTTTATTTTTAGGCCTCACAAGAAGCCATTGAGATCCCAATGATTATCGCTGCTGAGTAGCATTTATATAATTCTTTAAATGCATGATTATATTTTTTTTATACATAATATGTAAGATATTTTCAAAATTATGATTTTCTTTAGCTTCCGAAGCTAGCAATCCTTTTGTTATCTTCATTTCATGATGCAGTGTTTCCATATTTAAGTTTAACAGGGATTTTGGGGCTATTTTATCTGATAAAAAATAATATGGGTCAAGGGGGGACAAAGTATTAAAAGATTAAAATCGGTCTAAAAAACGATCCACAAAGTTATCTATAATTTCATAATATATCCTTTTTAAAGAACTCCAATTGAAGTCTTTTTCACAATCGAATTCTAGTTTGCTATCAACTAAAAAATCTTGAAAATTTTAAGGCGTTTTACGTACCCGTGATGATTTTTGGGAAGTAAGATGAAATTTTGATAAAAGTTTTTCAGCCTTAATCATAATCAAAGCAAAAGAATTATCACTTCTTTTATTTTTTAATATATTGATAGTAGAATCAATACAATTTTTAGCATCCACTAGATTAGTACCTACTGATTGTAGATACTTATTTAGTGGATCTATTGTAATTAATATCTCATAAATTATGATGGCTAATATAATGTAATTTATATTAATACATTGAGATAAAAGACCAGAGGCTTCGATTTCATGAATTGAAACCTCTGAATTAAGAGTTCTATTAGAAAAGTAAAATAATACTTTACCAATAGCCTCAAAATTCTCATAAATAATGCGAGATGTTTCCAAATGACCAGTCCACCTCTGGTCTAAAAGTCTCTTAAGGGTGTGGCCTGTATATTGACAGGATACGTTAAAACGCCTGAAAAAATTATACAATGCATTTGATAAATTAAAAAAATTAGAAATAATATTATTATACCAATTTTGAACCACAAGATGCAACTTGTGGTTGTAGCAATGTATAAAAGGAACATTTTTATTAATTTTTTTTTGAAGAAGTGTTTGCACTCCTCCATTTCGGCCAGACAAAACGTTTGCACCATCATATGCCTGGCTTATTATATTAGCTGAATTAATATTTAGATCATTAAGTTGCTTTAAAATGCAATTTGTAATGCTTTCAGAAGAAAGACTCTCTAAATTAATGATTCCTATTAAATTTTCTTGGATTTCTCCAGGAAAAATATAGCGAATTATTATGCTCAGGTTTTCACAACCTGAAGCATCTTTTGTCTCATCAGCCTTAAGACAAAAAAAGGCATCTCGCTTTTATTATATTTGTCTGAAATATGTTCAAGCACCATATCTGCCATAATGGATATTACTTCTTTTTGAATCTGTGGTGATGTATACTGGGCATTTTGGGGTATAAATTTCATAATTTTATTTAATTCAAAGTCTTTTTGGATGGAGTAGGAAAACATTGCTATAAATAGCCCAGAAGAATAAATTATGTTTTCATCTTTTGCAGCATCCGTAATATTTGTTGAACCAGTCCCACGGAAAGGTAGCTCTTGTATGCTAAGAAATAGCATCAAATCAAATATTGATTAAATATAATATTGATTACGATTAATTTGATCACCTCCCAACATTTTAGTTATTTCTGTACCTTTGTTTATATTTTGATTTTTATCATGCCATATTGTAATTGAATTTAAATGAGCTTTTGAGCTCTCGTGTTTTAGCAGTCCCTTGGCAGCTAACGCATTTTTCCAATTTCTGAATCCCGTTTGTCCAAATTCATCACTTGGATTACACAAGTACTTCCTACATGGAAAACAAAAGGCAGCGTCAGCTTCTACACTATACTCCAACCAGTCTCGGCCTCTATACCATGATTTTTGAAATGATCTTTGCCTTCCATGGATATCTTTTTTCGCTAATTGTTTGATTTGGTTTATTCTGGCCAAGGTCACCTGGGATTTGAATTGAACCATTAGAGGACTTTTTTGACACTAAAAATATTATAATTAATAAATTGTAATGAGGGAAAGGGTCATAAATAATAATGGTCATCAGGATGGGCGAAGGAAGGGCATGCTGAAAATGAACAAACACAAAATTTATCTTGTATTTAATATAGAAATAATTGCTATACTGTAGTGCCCAACCCTGATGAAGATTATCAGTAAAGTTAATCAGTAAAATTATAGATATTCAGTATTAAAAACTAGAAAAAGGTCATAAACATTATATCTTTAAAGATTAACAAAAAAATATAATATTTTAATATTTATAAATCAATTACTAGTTGCCTCTTGACAAGAGACTGAGCTGCTAGATGAAGATGATTGAGTCTCTTCTTCGTCTTTATTTGTTTTAAAATCAAAATGTAATAATGAAACACCATAATCTCCTATTGATATTGTCAAAAATATATAAATAGAAAAATTTGGGTTAAATTTTAAACTATTTACCATCTTCCTCCTCCTGAGTGTAGTGAGGATCATTTTCTAGATTATTAGCTTCATTCATATCTTGAAATATGAGTGAATATATTTATTTTAATAATTAAAATTATTATACAAATATGATAATATTAATAATAAATGTCTGTCTCTTATCTTATATAAAATAAATATATATGAAATAATAATATATAGGTATTGCCGTATATCAATATCATATAAGTCATGAAATAATAATATAAATTTATACTAACTATGAGAAGAATCAGTTTCTGAAATTTCTGATGTAGTATTACTAGTAGTTTGTAGAGATGATGTTGCTTGACATTTGTTTAACTTTAACTTAAAATAAGAGTTAATAACTTATTTTTTTTCATAATTTTAAAATAAACGCTGTAAAATAAAATAACTGGTTATAA